CTTTCTTCTCCTTCTTCTTTTGATATAAGAGACTGTAGTAGTTGCGTGTTCCTAAACTTAAAAAAAAATGTCAAACAATTTCATAAACTTGCAGTTTTATATCAAATATGTCTCAAGTCCTCAACTATTTTAGCTTAGTATTTATGCAACATCATATTGGAAAAAAAAAATACTGATGTGACAGGTTGATCATACTATTTAAAGAAAATGTAGTTAATAAAATTTGTTGCATGAGATAAATACATCAAAAAAGATTAAACATCGCTGTCAAAAAAACATCATAAAAATCTTAAACTTCCAATTTTGTATACACGTACAGTTTTTTTTAGTACAAATAGGTCTCTATTTTTATAGAGTATAAAATACTTGATGACAATGCACGATTTCTTTAGTTCCACTTTATTCATTTTTTTCCTAATTTCGGTAACCATTTAAATACAAAATTAAAAGTTTAAAGACCTATTATAAATAATCCAAAAAATTAAAGAAATTTTCACTACTCTAAAAACATCGACAAGTGGAGAGAAAAAAATCGCACTTAACAAATTTACAATGTGTGTGGTTAGTGATACGAAACTAGAAGTTTGAAAATAAGGGATCTAATAAAAAAATACTATTGTATTTGTTTTTGAATATGTATGCAATAACAAATTTTGAAATTGAATTTAAAAAAATGTTCACACATGTGTTTAGTATTATGCTTATAAATTGATAATACTCGTAAATATTTAGTTCAATCTAAACTATTGATTAATTTATTAACATATGCATTATAAATTTTATATAATTATTATTTTACAATATTATATTTTATTTTATCTATTTTAATTTTAACAAAAATACGAATTTATAACATGAAAGAGTATATTTATCTAGGTTCGTTTTGAAAACGAATAGAAATATTATTTTCAAAATTTTGACTATTTTAATTACATAATAAAAAAAAGTTAAATCTAAAAACAACAAACTCATCAAACGTGTCTTTAGTTTTTCCCATAATTCTATGTATGATAGATAATCCATGATCATGTTTGCAAAGCCGAATATTGTGGAGGAACCTTTCCCACCTTGAGGTGAAGAGTAGTTTATTTTTAAAATACAATTTGCTTGTTATCTTGGACAAAATTTTACTTGAAAATTGTAGAAAGTAGAAAAAACAGTGTACTGGATTGATAATTAAAAAATATATATTTTTATTTAAACAATTTTTTTCGGTTACCATCAATAATAATAATAATAATAATAATAATAATAATAATAATAATAATAACTACCAACCTTACTAGATAGCAACTTTAAAGCTATAGTTGCAAATTAATTATGTTGTCTAAATTAACAGTATAAAAATGATTATTTAAAAAATTATTTGAAGAATACTCTCTCCCATAACATTATTTCTTTTAAGGATCAATAGATATTTAATTCAATAACAAATAAAAAATACTTGTGAAATTTGTGATGTTAATGAGGTGAAAAAGAGTCAGAGACTTCTCCATCATCTTCACTCTCCACCTCATTCTCTGTTTCTACTGAAATCTCCCTAAAAAGTGAAAAAAGAAAAAGCAACGAACTTTCACCCCAGAAATATGTATGAACAAACAAACTATAAAGATTCAATATCAGCATGACATAGCTCAACAGTTCATCAGTACGGTCGAGAGTTCGAATACCCACTCTTATTAACACTATATTATAAAAAAAGGGACCTGCTTGCAACATCTCATATCAATTAAACGTGTGCTGTGAAGTATCATCAAGTCATATATCAGTTTCTGGAATCCAAATCTTAAGAAGCCGATCATAAAACGAGCAAGTTGCAACGGCATACCTTTTCCTTTTGTCTTCTTGGGAAGAATCTCCTCTCTTCCAATCTGCCCCATAAGCAAGAGAGCCGTGTTTGCCATAAGTCTCAACCACTTCCGCATCATCATCTTTAACTCTAACGATTGCGAACCCATTGTGCATACAAGCCGCCAGAACAACGTCAAAAACTGAAGGGTGGGGCTTGATTTTCCAGACCCCACCTCCTAAACAAATTGAAGTTTCATTCATGGGCTTTGAGATTGATCTCATATCCCACACTCTCAGGTGCTCGTCGTAGCTGCCGGTGAGAAGTTTATAAGGGTCACTGGGGCTTTTGGCGATGCAACAGACGCCCATTTTGTGAGTTTTGGTGTTGTGAAATGCCTTGGAAGGAGTGTCTCGCAAATCCCAACAGCTGAATTTGCAGTCATCTGAGCCAGTGTATACTAAATGAGATTGGTGAGAGTCGAAGGAGGTTGCCCAGAGCTCAAATTCGTGAGCTTTCCACTGGTTTTGGACTTCCAAGTGGGATTCTCTTGCAGAGAGTATTGAGATGAAACCATCTGAATGCCCCACTGAGATGGCCGAGGCGGAAGAGTTCCAATCCAGGCAAAGACACATGGAGGAAGAAACTTTGCTGGTGCATCTCTCTCTTATATGTTCTCGTTCTCCTGCACAAATAAGAAAACATCAATCTGTTGGAAAAACAAACACTGAAAGCTTTAAATTTTTTTAGGGAGAATGGCGAGAACTTGATTGAAAGCTACATATTGAATAATGGTTAGAATCAAGAATGAAAGGGAAAGAATATTACCTGGTCCACAAAACAATGTTATTTTTGAGGCAAAATGAACATCAACTTCATACACAGGAAAATTTTCCTCAAATAAACACACCCATAACTTAAAACTCTCTTTGTCGAATTGGAAACAAGAAAACTGAAATGGGTTTAAGTAGTGCATTGAAGATAATAACCCACGAGTGTTTGAATTAAATTATTCTAATAAAACCTTAATGGGAAGAACGAAGAAGGGGAAGTTTAGTAATGCATATTAAAGAAGTCTGTATTCCCATGTATTTCTATTAAGTATGATAATAAAAAAAATTAAAAAATTAAAAAATTAAAAAATTAAAAAAAAAAAACTTCAAATGACCGTACCTTCTGAACCATTTGAAGAGTACTCGAGAGCATGAATTCTGAGACAACCATCAGCATCTGCTTGAGCAAGCAGAGGACTCCCGGTCTGACCAACGGGACTCCACTTTATATCAAAAATCCCCGCCGTTTCCACGCGATGAAGCAGCTCCAAGCACCCGATTTCTACATTTACATTGAAGATTGATATACTTCCAGACCGACTGGGCTGATCCCCCTCTTGTAGTGTATAAGTGGAAGCCGCCAGAACATGACTAAATGAACTATGCGGACAAAATTCCACTGCATCGGCATTGCCGTCTAGAATGCATTCAGCAACATCCATTCCTGAATCGGGAAACGGTGTTTTGTTGCCAGTGGGGAATTTCGTCGAACACCTCGTGTGCCGAAACAGAAAAAAGAACAACAACAGGGACAGAACTTCAAGAAAAGGCACATAAGATAATATGAGATTGATGAAAAGGGAGATCGGATTCAAAACTTTTTCCGGCGAAGTAAAGATGAAGGAAACGAAGAGAAGAATGGGATTGAGGAGACCATGGAAGAGAGAACGGGAACAAGGGTTTTGCGGTGGCTTAAAGTAAGTTGGCGAAACTGCCCCTCGGTTGTCTCATTGAACGACGTCGTTGTAGTTGCTCGCTGTCGCAGGCGGATTTTTTTTTATCTTTTTTTGGGGGAATGAAAAATTTTCAGTCTTTATGAGATCAAACAGTTTGTTGTCGAATCTGTTGAGGAAGCTTCTAGATTAAGGCTGACGTGTCTCTACAACATATCGAACTTACATCGATCCCTTTAATACTTTTTTTTTTTGACAATATTTAATGCTTGATTTTTAACAAAATGTACATCAATTTTGATGTATTGGGTTCGATGGTGAAATACCAGATTGGCTGCCAGTGCCGTAGCACTAATGTTAGGACAACGCGTGCACGTTTCGGGTCAGGATTTTGAAAATATTAAAAATTTACATTTTTATTTTTAATAACTTTTTTAGTTTTACGAAACCTCTATAATTCAAACGTTTAAAATCTTTCAACGTCGCCTGCATAGTACATGGGTTAAGGTAAACAATTCCATGTCCCATAGCAGTTTTGATGGCAGTACAGATTCCAAAATTCATATGACATTTTATTCTATTAATATAATTAATTGTATTAATTATGGATTGGATTCTATTCGTAATTTGAAACTGCTGTTAAATTTGTTTAAAATAAAAAACAATTTAAAAAAAAACAAATAATTTTATGAAAAAATAATAACCAAAGTTTAGGTAGTTCACAACTAACGAAAGAAATCAAATAAAGGGACAGTTGCAAATATGACAAAACTATTTAGTAAAATAAGCAAAATAACAATCACATTAGTTTTTTCAAATATAGCATTTTTTCAAAAAAAAAACGGAGGTCCAATTTTACCTTGCAATATATCTTATATAAATCTGTAAATTTGCAGTATATCAGACTAGTGATATATGCCTCTGATATAATAATGATATACAATTTATTTACTTCTGATATGATATCTATTGAACTTCGAACATGACTTACCATTGATATACGTATGATAATTATTGATCTACAACGCCGATACAACATTTATATATTTAAACCGGTTATATCTCTTATATTTCGTATCTAATTAATATTAATATATAATTAATAGTTGTGATATAGTAATACGTGAACTAAAAATTTTAAAAATTTACCGTCCAGAGCAATATGGAACTGTTGACTTTTATTATTTGTGATATTTTATCCTACCAGGCTAACTAAATGTAAAAATTTTACTAAAAAAAACTGATGTATTAATTGGTTCTCTTCATTTAATTTTTAAAAACTAACAAAATAAAAAAGAGTTGATAAAAGTCTCAAATTTGACAAAATCCTCAAAAATAAAATTTAAACAGATTTAACTTAAAAATAATATAATCAACATAAGCAATAACAGATTTGCGTTAATGAAAAATCTCACGTATAAAATTTTTAAAAATAAAAGCCATTACACTGTATTGATTGCGAAAGATATTTACCGTGATTTCCGGGCTTTTTTTTGTTACAAAAAGACCACGGGAATTTCCTCTCACTGTAACGGACTATTTTTCGCGCCCCGCCTTCCACTTCCTTCTCGACTGCGTCTAGGGTTCTTCTTCTTCGTTTGCGTTCTTCGTTTTTTCTCATCGTCGCTCTCTCTCTCTCAGAATCCGATCGACTTTCTTTCTCACACTCCTCCAAGATCAGATCAGATCAGTTATATCTCTTCGTCTCTGATCTATGTCTTTTCTGCAAACCCTAGTTATTTTGGTCGTCCATGGCAGAAAAGGAAGATCAGAATCGAAGACGAGGGAATTAGGTCTACTGCAATTTTGGTCAAGGTATGAGACGATAAACATTCATGATCTGATAAATGTTACCGTGAATCATCATAATAGCATAAACCTTGGTTACATTATCACAATGATTTAATGAACAGAGTTGAATTTTTCAAATCATATTTTAATTTTGAAACCAAATGAGACTTGATTTTGTTACACCGATCGTAAATTAAGAACGCGATTTAACATTAACCGAGCCCATTCCTTCATAGTTTCACCCTTTCTAGCAAATCCTCAACTTAGTGGCGGCAATCTTTTCCTCATCGGATTCAGTGCGCAAAAATTGTTACGGCTCAGATTTGTTATTATCAGGTACGTCTATTTATATTAATTGTCTTTCTATTATCTCTCTATTGGTTTGGCTGAATTAAAACTGATACTTTATAACTGCTATATATGAAAGTCTATTAGGAATTTATGATTTTGCCTAGATTGAAACTTTTAGGTTGTATGTCTCTTTTAAACTCGTCTCGAATATTTTGTTTCTTTAATTTACTTATGATTAAAAATAATCAATTTAATATTTAATTATCATTTTTCAGTTCTCTACCTTTTTTGTTTCCTTCTACAATATTTTGTATCTGTCTCTAGTTTTCTCTCAACTTTTTTACCTTCTTTTAACTATTTCTCAAGTTTATAGATCTCTCTCTTTAACTATTTCTCCCGCATTCTAACTATTTCTCCCGCATTCTAACTATTTCCATTTTTATTCTTTTTTTCAAATATACTTACAATTATTTTTTTAAATTTAAACTGTAATTTCTTTCAAAAGTCTTGTTATTTAAATTTCTATAAATTTCAAAATCCTCTCTTTATATTTTTTCTCCAACTCTTCTAATTGTTGTTTTTTGTTTTTTAAGTTATCAACGTTTTAAAAAACCTTTTTAACGTTTTCAATTTATTTTCCTTTAAAAATATCGTTTTTTATATTTACTTATATTTTATAGTGATTTTCACTTAAAACTTTGGTCAGTCTATTTTTCTAACTTTATTTCTCACTTTCAATTTCAATTTCTTCTCTGTAAAATTTTACTCACTCTAACATCTGTTCTCTTTAAAATTGATCTTTTATGACCATTTCTTCTTTTTCACCTTCTAAATTTTAGTTTTAAAATTGTTTCCCTATCTCTCCTTTATCTACTTTTGTATTCAAAATTTTAATTTTTTACTCTATAATTTATTATCTTTCAAAATTTTTATCTGTAACTATTTCCAATTTTTCTTTTTTTCAAATATGCCTACGATTTAGATTTTACTTATTTTTTAATTTAAACAGTAATTTCTTTCTAAAGATTTCTTGTTTTTCAAATTTCTCTCACTTTCAAACTTCTCTCTTGTATTTTTTTCACCACTCTTTCTAAAATCAACATTAAGAAACATATTTAACATATTTAATTTGTTTTCCTATTAAAATATTGTTTTCTATATTTACTTCTCTCTATTTGGGATTTTTTAGCTTTTTCTTTATTCTTCAATTTTTTATCCTTATCTCTCTCAAATTTGTCTCCTTGCTCTTTTTTTTTTCTAATTTACTTATGATTTAAAAATATTTAAAAATATTTTATACTGATTGTCACTTAAAAGCTTTGGACACTATATTTTTTTTAACTTTTATTTTTCACTTTCAATTTTTTCTCCCTAAAATTTTACCCTCTCTAGCATTGGTTTCTCTTTTAAAATTGATCTTTTATAATCAGTTCGTCCTTTTCACCCTCTAAATTTTTATCTTAAAATTTTTTCCAATCTCCCTTTAACTACTTTTGTATTCAAAATTTTAATTTTTTATTCTGTAACTTTCTTCTCCCTTAAAATTTTTTCTTTTACTTTCTAATATATTTTTTTATATTTAACTGTTTCCCTTTTTATTACTTGTTCAAATAAACTTACGATTTAAATTTAATTTTATAAAATTTAAACTCTAATTTCTTTGAAAATTCTTGTTTTTTAAATTTCTAACTTTCAAAAGTTCTCTCTTTATATTTTTTCACCAAGTCTTTCTAATTGCTTTTTTTTTTATTTGTTAACGCTTTAAAAAATATTTTAACATTTTCAATTTTTTTTTCATTAAAAATATTATTTTCTATATTTCATTTTCACTTTGAA